TCTGCATGGGCGACATCTTCAAGTACTTCGGGCTGCCGCTGATGTCAACAGTTGCATTGTCTTTTTGTAGTCTGTGGTAGCTGTGTAGGAGTAGGCTGGGCGCTGAGCGCTCGCTGTTACTTATTTTCCTTGCAATTTGGTATCGGAGCTGRTTCATACTGCGCTTCATTGGTTCTTCGCAATAGCTATTGGTGCTTCGCATGAGGTGTGGGGCAGTGATAAGGCATTGGCGTTGAACGGTAGGCGGCCCAGGGTAGTGTGGGCGCGCCAGGGAGCTATGTGGTGACATACGGGGTGTATGCAGGATGATGAGAACTCGCTGATGTGACATATTAAGCCAAGGTGGAACCACATTCTGCTGTTGGTTGTGCTGAGGCAAGGACCGGTCATCATAATTGCACATCAGGTTACCGGTGAGAAATCTGTGGTTGGGGGCAGCATTTATGAGGTACGTTGCTCTCTTCCTTATCTACCCTCTTCATCTCTTCTTACAGTGAGGAAGTGAGTTCTGTCTTGAGAGTCCTCTCGATGTGAGGTGTCGCTAGCGCTCAACCTTGAGAGTCGACATTCTTCCTGGGCAGCAAGCTGGTGGGAGACGGGCGAAGCCTCTAAAGGGCCCTGGACGAAGCACTCGGGTCACGGTCACCATGCCAACCCGCTGGGACTAGTACACGCATGCTTGGGCTGCAAGTCCTTGGTTCTGTTGCTTGCGCAATAAAGGTCGTGCCGGGCATGCCAGCCTTTTATGAGACACTTACCAGACCGCCTATAAATATTTCTGGTTGGGCACTCGGATTGAATCTGGCTGTGATCGTCGTCCTGACTGCGACGTTAAATAATTCCTGAGGAGATGGGGGCTCTCCTAAAATTCCTCCTGATCAGCCAGATCAACCGGGCGTAAGGCTCGTTCCGTACGAGGGTAAATAAGAGTGGACTGGCTGGCATGTTTGGCAATGACTTGGGGCACAGGGGTGGGCCGGATTGCACACCTTCAGGCACGCTGCTCAACCAGATGCTCAGGATTGTTGACACAAAGTGACCAATCAAGAAGGATACAAGGGGAGGGGGGATTCCGATAACTGTTCACAGTGGCATTAAACTATTCATCTGCCATCCAGTATACATCTCCAGCAGGAGATGTTATTTCTATCTTTGATTAGTTAGTTGTTACAGACTTTGCTGACAACTGACATACAGTTACAGACAAACCAGACTCTTTGCTGTAAAGTGATCTGTATTAGACTAATCTAAAAATAGATGTGATATATCTTGTTGACCTGACATTAGTTGTGACTATATCACCTAATTGTTTCTGTTCCCGCCGACCGATAATGGTTGTATATCAAAGACGGTTGTGTGTCACGCTAAGGTACGATTCAGTGTGAGTTCTAGTTTAGATCACACACACCGTAGCTCATGAGTGAAGACAGCGGTGAGGAGGAGCAAAGGCTAGTGCAACCCATTAGGATCACATGGAGAACCGCTCTTAGTCAACCTTTGACTTTCTTGGAGTTAGGTCCTGGAGAGGAGAGGAGACTACGAAGGGAAGCTAGGGAGAGAGCAGCGGCGAGGAGGAATAGGGACGCAACAACCAGCTTAGCGGCTGCAATGGCTTCCGCCTCTTTGACATCGCAGTCCACCTCCCAGGCTTCTTCGTCAGGGGCTGGACAAGGTGGATCGGGTACAATTTGTCAATCTGTTGGCTTGCAAGTCAGCCAAGCGGTTCTACTCACACCTGAGGACATAGAAATCCAAAAAGCGGAAGAACTTCAAAATGAGTTACGGCGGCAGTTGGACGAAGCATCAGAGAGGAGAAGAAAAGCTATCATGAGGAAGGCCAGATTAGAGAATAAGGCAGAGGGATTAGGCAGACTAGAGGACCTAGATGAGTCGACATTAGAGCCAGTTGGGCGCGTGCTGCGAAATGTTGTTCTATAGCAGAAGCGCAGGCAGTTCAACAGGAACTGGTGACTGATCTAGTGGCACGCCATAAACAAATTCTGGATGTGCTCCAGGCTCCTCGTCCAGTGATGAGGCAGCCACAGTTTGCTGTAGTTCCCCCTGCAGGCGCGGGTCCCTCAACGATGCCGCGACCCACGGGACAAACCTTTTCTCCAATGTTTGGCATGCCCCCTCCAGGTGGTTTAGCAGCAACTAGTGGTCCGGTTCAAAGAGTCTCAACCGTACCATCCACGACAGTGGTAACTACAGTCCCACTGTCAAGCCAGGCCCAGGTTAGTGTGCAGCAGCCTGTTTCAGTGGCTATGCAGCCGCTGCAGCAAGCCCCTGAGCCCATGCAGCCTATGCAGTGGATGCCCAAGATACCTCTGATGAGTCCCAAGCCTTTCTATGGAGATAGGAAGGAGGAGGAAGACTTGGACACCTGGGTGAGGACTATGCCTACTTATGTGAGGCACAAGCTCACAAGGCCAGAGCAGGAAGTTGTAGTGGCTGCCTCCTTTTTAGAGGGGTCAGCAACTCGCTGGTTGAATGGCTTAGTGCAGCAGCAGGGCTACGGTCAGGATTTTGATGCCTGGGCTCAGGCTCAGACATTGGAACAGTTCGTACGGTCTGTTTACAACCGGTGGCACGACCCGCAAGGGCCTCAAAAGGCCACCGATGCTATCAACAACCTTTGTTCCCGCAGGTTCAAGGATGTTAGAGAGCTTACAGACACCGTAGAACGCCTTCTCGTGGTACCTGGTGTGCGTTTTGACCAGGAGGTTCTCCTGACGGATTACCTAAGGTGCCTACCTGCAGAGGTAAGGACCAAGCTGGTTGACGAGGCCTATGTCGAACAGCACACTTTCACATCTTTTAGTAAGAAAGCTCTGGACATTGAGGCAAAGCTGGGGTCTGCGCATAAGGCATCTCATGATGGTAGGAAGAGACTACCCCAAGATTGGAAGAAGAAGGGTCAGTTAATGTTCGTTGACCACGATGGTCAATCGACTGAGATTGACGATTTCCCATACCTTGGGGAGTTGACAGAGCACGATGGGGCTATTGAGACTTCAGATGGATGAGTCGTGGCCCCCATCAAAGAAAAGGCTAGGGGGACCGGGAAGAAGAAGGTAGGACGGTCCACGGGTCAGGGAGACCAAGGGACACCCGCATGGGTGAAGCTTGGTTTGGATTACGAGGTGTGGAGGGACCGAGTTGCCAGGGGCACATGCATGAACTGTGGCAATTATGGCCACACGTCCAGGACTTGCCGTGGCAAGAAGGTCACAACGAAGGTAGCTTCACCAACGGTGGTGGGCTTATCTTCGAACCCTAGGAGTACTTCTGTGAGCGGCTCACAGGGAAACACCTCGGGCCAGTAGGAGTGTTAGCCGCTCTTACTCGCGCTGAAGTGGTAACGTTGCCTTCCCCACTTCAGGCGTTGGCCAAGGCTAGAGACCCACACATCGCCCCGCAGACACATTCAGACCCACCGACGCTCTGTTCGAGAGATGTGTCTGAGGCCCTAGAAGAGTTAGAGACTGAGTGGTCAGGGAAGGACCCCAGGGACTCTTGGGCGATGATCAGTAGAGGTCCAAAGGGTGAACATTTCGTGGTAGAAGAAGATGTAGGTGGCCGCAAGGTTGGTGCCTTCGCAGACATAGGCTCTACACGAAATTTCATCGGTCGTGCTTGTGTGGATAGACTGCACTTAGGGGACCAAGTGCAGCGGCTTAGCAGAACTGTAGCTTCTACGCTAGCCAACAAGCACCAAATGGTTGTAAAGGACTATGTCAAGGACGTAGCCTGCACCTTCTCCTATGGAGGAGGGGAAGTGATCCATAAGATCTCTTTCCTGGTGAGCGGCGAACTGCCATTCGATATGCTACTAGGCATGTACTACCTCGAAGTCTTGCAACCTCAGTTTGCCTGGGATAGAAAGGTGTTGATCCACAAATTGCCCAATGGTAGAACTGTTAGATTGCAAAAGTATAGAGCTAGCGGTCTAATAGAGAACTACGGGTGTATGTGCGCTTCATCCTTCTATAACTACTATAAGCAGAATCGAGAGGAGGACATGTATCTTGTCTTTGTCTCTGAGAAAGGGGAGGCCGTTAAAACACCCCCAGAGATAGAAGAGTCGTCGCACAATATTCAGACCTTTTGGAGGAGCCCACAGGCGTGGTGGAAAGGGAGGTTGTACATGCAATAGAGATTGTCCCAGGTAGTAAGGTGCCTAGAGGACGAATCTATAGGATGTCTCCTGCGGAGTTAGATGAGCTTCGCCGCCAGCTCAAGGAGCTCACAGAGAAGGGATGGATACGGCCTAGTACCTCCCCTTACGGTGCGCCAGTCTTATTTGTTCCAAAAAAGGGAGGTCCATTAAGGATGTGCATTGACTATAGGGGCCTCAATGCCATCACCGTTAAGAACGCGGAGCCCCTACCCCGCATCGACGACCTCTTGGATAGAGTTCAGGGATGCCGGTACTGCACAAAGATAGACTTGAAGTCCGGATACCATCAAATTGTCGTTACTCCTGAGGATCAACACAAAACCGCATTTCAGACCAGGTACGGTCTGTACGAGTTTGTAGTGATGCCTTTTGGCCTATGCATAGCGCCTGGTACGTTTCAGCATGCGATGAATAGGATTTTTCATGACTACTTGGACAAGTTTATCGTCGTGTACCTCGACGATATTCTCATATTTAGTAGGACTGTAGAGGAGCACGCTGAGCACTTGAAAACAGTGCTAGGTCTCCTAAGACAGCACCAGTACAAGGTTAACTTGGACAAATGCGAGTTGGTCGCACCAAGATCTTGTACTTGGGTCATGAAATCTCAGCAGATGGAGTGAGGCCGGACGATGCGAAGATGGCCAGCGTACGTGATTGGCCCAGACCTCAGACTGTTACTGAGGTCAGATCGTTTTTGAGGATGATGGGCTATTATCGTCCATTTGTGAAAAACTATAGTACTATAGCTTCCCCATTAACAGATCTATAACTCGACTTGATACCCCTTGGGAGTGGACTGAAGAGTGTGAGGTAAGCTTCAAGAAATTGAAGTATGCTCTAACGCATTATGAAGTTCTCAAACTTCCTCATCCTGACAAGTCGTTTGTTGTGACCACAGACGCCAGCCAATATGGCATAGGCGCGGTCCTTGCGCAACAGGAAGGGCCCAAGTTGAGACCGATTGAGTATATGAGCAAGAAGATGCCATCTCAAAAATTAGCTAAGTCCACGAATGAGAGAGAGCTCTACGCCCTATACAGAGCGCTAGTCCATTGGAGACACTACCTTCTAGGAAGATTCTTCTATGTGAGGTCTGACCATGAGACTTTGCGCTGGATTAAGACACAGCCTGTGTTGTCAGATGCACTCAAGAGATGGATTCAAGTGATAGACATGTATGACTATCAACTTGATCCTATCAAGGGTACGTATAACAAGGTGGCTGATGCATTATCACGAAGGGCAGATTATCTGGGCGCGCTAGTCAATGAGTTTGGCATATCTGACGAACTCACTCGATCGTTGGTGGAAGCCTATCAGGGAGACCCAGTCATGTCAGAAATCATCCGTAGATTCCAAGCAAAGGACAAGAAGACTTTGGATGAGTGTACGATGGTAGATGGCTTGCTGTTCCTTGAGAAGGCAGGGAATAAAAGGTTGTGTGTTCCTGATAGTGAGTCTTTACGTGGTTTGCTTTTAGGCGAATGTCATGATGCGACTGGTCATTTTGGTTACGAAAAGACATCAGCGAACTTAGTACAAAGATTCTGGTGGCCTTCTATGATGATAGATGCAAAACGCTATGTTGAAACATGCCAGGTTTGCCAAAGAGACAAACCAAGGACTCAGGCTCCGCTTGGGCTGATCAAGCCCTTGTCGATTCTTGAAGGACCAGGTCACGGTGTGTCTATGGATTTCATGGACACTGTTGTGACCAGCAAGTCTGGAAAGAGTCATATCTTTTTTATAGTCGACCGTTTTACTAAGTACGCAAGACTGATTACCATGCCAGAAACAGCTAAAACTGACTACGTCATTAAACTGTTTATGGATAATTGGGTATGGGATTTTGGTTTGCCTACATCCATCGTTAGCGATAGGGATGTGAGATTCACAAGTGAACTGTGGCAGTCAACTGCTGAACAGATGGGCACCAAACTCCAAATGACTTCAGGAAATCACCCTTAGTCAAATGGCCAAGCAGAACAGATGAAGCGGGTAGTACAGCACCTGCTTCGGCATTACATTGAGCCAACTCAGGATGACTGGGACGAGAAGTTACCTCTCGTCACCAGCTTGTACAACAATGTTGTGCACAGTACAACCGGTATGACTCCCAACCAGTTACATCTTGGTTGGAAGCCCAGAAGTGCATTGGACTTTCTGCTACCAGAAAGGCACTCCATTGCAGCACCTAGCAGCATAGAGTTTGCTGTCAAATATGAACAGATGCTGCAGCGGGCCATTGAACATATTAGGAAGTCTCAAGATTGTATGATTGCATTTGAGAATAAGCATAGACGGCCCTCTAACTTTCAGGTAGGTGAACGAGTCTGGGTAAAGTCATCTGAATTAGGTCAGGAGTTGGGGATATCCAGAAAACTGATGCCACAGTATTTCGGGCCCTGGGAGATCTTGGACGTTGTAGGGGATCAACCAGATGGGCCTTCATACGTGATCCGTATTCCTGCACACTTACGCACCTTCCCAGTGTTTCATGCCTCCAAGCTGGCACCTTTCGCTGCAATTGAGCAGTTTCCTTCCAGAAGATCAATGCTGCCCCCAACCATGGATGGCGAAGTGGACATCGACCAGATCATCGAGCATCAAGTGATGCCTGTTCCTCGACCATCAGGCAGAGGGCGACCTCCTAAACCTAGAATGCAATATCGTGTGAGCTTCAGACATCATCTGGATCCTAAAGAAGACGGGTGGCTCACACGAGAAGAACTCATGAGAACAGCACCTCAAGTCATCGCAGGCTATGAAAGAGCACTCAAGGGGAAGATGCCTGCAAAATGAGAAACTTCTCAGAGGACTCACGAAGTAAAGGAGGGAATGCGAGGATCAGGATCCTCGGTAGGCCTATGGGGCCCTGTTTGCAGCCTTACCCACCCTAAGTGAAGGCGGAGGTGCCCGCCCTAAGTGAAGGCGGGCCTGGCTTTTTGCAAGAGGCCCTCGACTGTCAATTTCATATTTGGGGTCTCGGCAGTTGCAACGCGCCAGTTGGTTGAAAGAAACACAGGCCGAGCACCGAAGACATTTCCACGGCCTACCGGGCCGTTCCAAAGAATGCAGGCCTTGGGCGTGATTCGCAGCCTCATACAGAGACAGTTGGGCGCCCAACCAAACGAGGCCCAGCAGCACAGTAGCTGCTGCATCCAGGCAGCCTCTTGGGGCCTTCCGGAAGCTTCTGGGCCCAGGCCAGCCAAGCCAAGCTGCGAGAGCTGGCCAGCTCTTTTTCCATAAAGGAAAGAGTTCTGGACAGGCAGCCTCATTCAGGCACTCGCATGCTAGCGGCAGCGCTGCTGGAGCAAAGGCTCGCGGCTGCTGGCTGGCTCTGAGAGGCGAGGTGCAGCACGTGCGGTAGTGCAGAGGAGGAGGGCACTGCTGAGGGCAGCGCCATAGCCCTGCCACCATAGCTGGTGGGCTTGGACTACAGTGAAGCGCAGGGGTGGTCTTCGGGTGAAACAGAGGACAGACGGGGGTGTAGTCAGGGGGTAGGTGAAGGATGATGATGATGATGATGATGTGAGGGCACGTACCTTGTATTGGCGATGGTCTGCATGGGCGACATCTTCAAGTACTTCGGGCTGCCGCTGATGTCAACAGTTGCATTGTCTTTTTGTAGTCTGTGGTAGCTGTGTAGGAGTAGGTTGGGCGTTGAGCGCCAAGTGGGACTGTGAAGGAACTGGACTCTTGTGTTGAGAGGAGAGAGTATGCTCTCCATGAACATTGGTTTTCAGTGCTACGAACTTCCATTGGTGTATTATTGGTGCAATGCTGCTCTTTGGACACGGTGTGACTATTTGGCTTTCAATGTGATGGTGTGATCTGGAATTGTCATCTCGTTGTTACTTATTTTCCTTGCACTTCTTTCATGTATCGTCAATTGATGCAACTTGATTGGCAGTGTTGCTTTTCTCGTTGCCATGGGATTTCT